CCGAGTGCGACCAATCGGTGACCGATGTCTGGAATCAGACCATGTCTTCGGCTATCCATCAGTGGTGTAATTCTTCGCCGACAACTCACCACTCGTTCAACGCGTTTGTAATTGTTGTCAATCTCTGCGTTTATTTGGTCGTCAAATATCTAACGCACGGGTAGTTTGTATAGACATGTGTTATAACCCGAACTCCCATCTGATCCGAGTGTTACCATATCATGGATTGGCCAACAAATCACTTAATTATGGCCACAAACCTCCGCAATAGCCTCCGATCTCGACCTCAACCAACGGATTAAGTGATTATTTGGTTATTCATTGCATTTATATCACGATTAATAACATATTTATTTACAATCAATAATCAATTTATGTTAAAAAGTTATAATAATTTACAAAAAAAGTTAATTAAAGTTTATTTAATCATAAAATTAACACAAAAAAAGGTTTTTTGCCAGAAATGACGGCCCGATTGAGCGGCTGATTGCCACACATTAAGTCATTGAAATGTGTTATGGGATCAGCTGGTGATCCACTAATGATGGTGTTTATCCACAGGTGATTAGCCAATGGATCAGTTCTTCGGCAGCGATATAAATGCCATAACAAACGACTGAAACAAACAAAAACATCACATCATATGTTGTTTTGTTGTTTACATTGGTTTCCATAGAAACTAATGTCTCATTCATTAGTGTTGTTATTGTCAGACATTGAGAGACAATCGCCCACTCGTTGTGACCACTACTGGCCTCCCATTGGTTCCCAACACCCGATGAGCACCACTCCTGACCACACAATCGCCACCACATCTGTAATCACGTGAAGTCCGGACACAACAAACCAAAGAGGTATTTGATTGGGAAGTGATTTGCCGTTTGTTTACACCATTTGTATTGTTTTCAGTTTGGGATCAAATCCACGATTTGTGGCCACGAGTCGAGCCGTGAAATGCCTGGCATTGAGTGCTCGCGGTTCGTGTCGTTGACCGACTTTCTGGCCAAACACCTCAAGTGCTGTATTTGTCTCAACGTGTTTGACAGAGCGGTGACCAACGACTGCGGCCACACGTATTGCAAGCACTGTATCGGCGATTGGATTGCCAGCGATCGACACGACTGTCCGGAGTGTCGCCGACCGTTGGCCACACGGAAGCGCTCCCAAGAGTTGGCCACTTCATCCGCGGCCGCCAACGACACGCAGACGCTGTTCATTGCGCGCGGGTTTGTCCTCGAGTACAACCTTAAGATCAATTCAATGATCGGCGAAATGCACATCAAGTGCCGCCACGAGTCCACGGGTTGTC